CCTCCTCGTCCTCCTCATCCTCCACTACCTGAGCGTCATCGTCGTATTCCTCCTCTGGAAAAACAAAATCCATGGAAAAGGGTCAGGATTTTACAATTCCACCCCAAAATCTGGGAATGCAAGCAGAAAATCCCTCAGGGATAGCCCAGGATTTTTGGGAGTTCTGGGAATGAGGGCTGGAGTTGCTCAGGGAGCTCTGGCTGCTCCACTTCCCAGCATTCCTGAGGATTTGGGAGCCGGGGGATATCCCAGTTATTCCAGGATCCAGCTGTTCCCAGGATCCAGCGGAACTTTCCTGTTATCCCAGGAAGCCCTCCCAGGGACACTGAATTCCAGCCCTGCAGGGAATTCCATCTCTTCCTGAAAGGAAAGCCCCCAAATCCAACCGTTTCCATGGGGAAACTGGGAAGGGTTCAGCAGTCCCTGGAGCATTCTCCATGGATTTGGGAGATTTTGGGAATCGGGCAGTGTCGGCCCTTCCCGGAGCTCCCACTCAGCATTCCTGGGAAAAGTGCACATCCAGCTTTTCTGCTTTTGCTGCGCAGCTGGGATGGGAGAGTCCAGCAAATTCCCTGCGATCAGCAGGATCCTCATCCTGGGATGGCTCCGGGGTACTGGGATCCCCGCCATTCCCTGGAATTCCACCCTGTTCCTTCCCCAGGGCCTGGATACTGGARCTCCCAGGTGTTTTCCATGCACTTCCCTCATGGAGCAGCTCCCTAATTCCTGCTAATTTGAACCACAGAAATTCCCAAAAAATTCTCCCCAAAAAGTTCCCCCTAAAAATCCTAGGTTTTCCTTCACCCTTTTCCATGGGGATCCCCACAATTCCAGGATATTCCTTCCTTATCCATGTCTGCTCATTCCCATTCCCTCAATTCCTTGAATCTCTTGGCTCCTTCCCTGTCCCACCCTCCATTCCCAGATGGCGGAATGGGATTTTCCTGGCCCTGCAACTCCCTCCCCTTATTCCTTTGGGATGCAGAGCTGCYGGGAATTCCACAGAGTGTGGAATTCCATAGAATATCCATCCCACTTACCATCTTCATCCTCCTCCTCGTCATCCAGGCCCTCCACGTATCCCTCGGCATCGGAATCCGCTGCTTCCTTCTCGTCCCGCTCTTTCACTAGGGATAAAGCTGAGGGATAAAGCTGCTTCAGGCCCCGCCCAGCGCCTTCCCAACACTCCTGAGGCTCCTTCCCAACATTCCTGTCCTTCCCAATACTCCTGAGGCTCACTCCCTCAGATCCTTCCCAACATTCCTTAGTGTCCTTCCTTCATCCCTTCCCCTCATTCCCTCAAGGATACCCAGGTCTTTTCCCTCATTCCCTCAAGACGTTCAGGTCCTTTCCCTCATTTCTTCGGGACWCTCAGGTCCTTCCCCCCATTCCTTCAGCTCCTTCTCCTCATTCTTGTCAAGGACATTGAGATCTTTCTCCCCTCATTCCTTCAGGATACTGAGATCCTTTCCCTCATTCCTTTGGGAGATTCAGGACTTTCTCCCCTCATTCCCTCGAAGACACCAAGTTCCTTTCCCCCATTCCTTTGGGAAATTGAGGTCCTTCCCTGGTTCCTTCAGGACACCAAGATCCTTTCCCTGATTCCCTCAGCTTGTTTCTCTCATTCCTCCCCTTCATTCCCTCGCAACACTGAGCTCACTGCTCTCCCCATCCCATCCCATCCCATCCCATCCCAATTCCATCCCATCCCATCCCATCCCCGTACCATCTTCATCCTCCTCCTCGTCGTCCAGGCCCTCCACGTAGCCCTCGGCATCGGAATCCGGCGCTTCCTTGTCGTCCCGGTCGTATCCGTCCAGGAACGTCAGCTGTGGCAGCAGCTTGAAGACGTTTTCTCTGTAGTCGTTCAGGTTGGTCACCTCGCAGTTGAACAGGTCTAAGCTCTTCAGGTTTTCCAACTTTTTCTGGGAAAAGAGAGGAATTCCTGAGGTTTGGCGGGGCAGGAATTCCC